TTCCGGACCATGACATGATTCCGGGTTGTCTGACCTGCCGTCATTGCCACAGCACCTTCACCATGGAACAGGCTCTGATCACACATTTCAATCGAGGCTCATGTCCGTCCTGATGTGTCAGCGGGCCAAAGCACAGCATTTCGGCACCACCATTGTTTCCGAACCAGACCATATGAGTTCGAGGATTGATCACACTCTTCCCACCTTGCTGCACAGGCACTTCGATCTCAGTCAGGCCGGCAGTGAGCATGATTCGGAGCCGGGTCCAACATTCGACCTTGTGAGTCTTTGGTTCCCAATTGGTATACTCCATGTTGGACCCTGCTGCAGTGTGTAGTTTCGGCACACAACTGACTGGCTTTCGCACTTCCCAGAGATGCCACACACCAACTTTGTGCCTGATCAGGCATTTGCCATGATTCGTGTTCTTGGACATCAACTACCCACAGCATGCCTGGACCTTGGACACCGATTGCATTCCTTACCAGCAGTGGCATGCAGCTCCGATTCATAAGTGCACACATGATCAACTTGCCTTCATCAAACATGTCCTTGGCCACCTTGCACAGATCCTGGCCCAAAACGATTTGCATCAGCTGGCCCCCACTGCATATGATGGACCTGCAAGACACCGAAGACGATCAATCCTTCCAGGACTTGCTGACTGCTTGCCAAGAAGGCTTCAAGAGGCCACGATACGAGACATCGTCCACCGGCCCCCAGAAGAATGGCCGAGAGCAGCGAAAAAGGAACTCGACCTCATCTACGAGCACCTGAGACAGCAGAGGTGGGGATGATTGATCTTTCTCCAATGTGGCAAGGGCTCATTGATGCCATCCCCACTCGAACTGGGCAAGAAGTGGAATGCTCAGAAGCAAGCAGGGGAAACCACAATATCTCTCCGACAGACAATATTCCAGGCCGTGTTCACAGAGTTGATCAACAGAGCTGGCAAGCTGAACCTGACGGCAAAAGAAGACGCACTGGTCCAGGGCCTCAAGGCTACAGCCGAACCAGAAGACTCCTCTGACGTCCGACGATGTATGTCAGACTCTTCGTCGGATCCATCAGTTGGGCGAGAACCCCAATTTGGTGCTGAAATTTTGCAGCTCTACGACCCTTGACTCAGGACAGTCTGCCGCAGGACGCCGCCATTGCCATACCTTGGAGGCTGGACGTGAGCCTCAGGGGCCCAGAAGCTCAAGAACTACATATGCTCCTGCTCAAGTTGGCCGGCAACGGCATTACTCAACTCATCCTTATGAGGATGAGGCAAACCACGTTGCAGAGATCGCCACTGGTGGTTGCAATCTCCCACAGATTGCGCAAGTCCTGAGGGGCATCATGACGACCAGCCTCCTGAATCCAGGATCCACGTGCTACCTGAACAGCACTTTGCTGGCTCAGGTATGGACCACCCTTTGGACGACACCGCTCGAGCTTGATACTTGGGGAGCATGGACGCAATCGATTTTGTGCATGTTCACAACACATGCTGGGGAGGCTCACAATCCATGCCAAGCTTCATTTTTAGGTAGCATGCTCACAGAATGGTTCACCTCTCATGCCATGACTGCGCAACATGACGCAGGAGAGTTTGCAAGTTGGATGCGAGCTCAGATGATTGAAAAGAAATTGATACCTGGAGGGATCCTCACGATCCATGCATGGGACTCACGACTGTTCACCACCACTGAAGACAGCGGTTCACTCATTGCACCCATTGTCCTTCGTGATTTACCTGAGGTTCAGACGCCTCTGCAAGAGGTGATCCAGCAGTGGCATCACCACGGACCCTGGTTGAACGGGCTGAGAACAGCTAACTCTTGGGTTTGTTTGCAACTGGAACGTCATCCGAGGTTGCATCACCGCCACTGTCAGGCCATCACGTGGGAACGGAACCGCATCCAGCTACCTGTTTTTGACGGCTACAATCACTGCTCCATCACTTGGACGGAGTATCAGATCGTGGCCGGTGTCCTTCACATTGGCAATATTCCTGTTGAGGGCCACTATTGTACCAGGCCGTTTTGTTCAACTCCGGAGCCGGCCTCCTGTGTGATGACAGCTGCAGGCCCCGACGCCTCACTCGTGATAGGTCCTTTTATGAGAATATCTACCTGATCTGGGCGGCCCCAATGGCTGCACTTTGCCCAGAATATCGACGACCACTACCATGGCCTCCAGCAGACACACTCGGCAGTCTCATCTTTGAGCACTTAGGTTGAGGATGCATAGCACCTTGATAGGCCACCGATCCTCTAGAAGGAATCACACTTCGTTGTGCGGCCCAACACGGGCGGATCGACCTCGACCGCTGGCAGAGGAATGAATGAATGAATTTAAATAAATATCTAAATAATATTTCGTATATGTTTTCTTAATATTTATATATATTTATAAAAATATTTTCAATATATTAATATTAATATATATATTGTTAAAATTTAGATTTTCAAGAAATCAATTATTATATATATAATTAATATATATAAATTTGAATATATTAATATATATCTAATTGAATTATATTATATATATTGCTTGAATCTATAATATCTTTAATTATTGATTATATAATAAAATTATTTACAAATAAAATTGTATTTTATACAAATTATTAATATTATTGTTATTATTTATAAATATATATTATAAATATAAATATTTCAATGGATATAATATATTTTTAAATAAGCATTTAATATTCAGATTATATATAATGGTACCAAAATCTTTTATATAATAGATGTTTATTTTCGATATTTTGGACCCATATTCCGAATTTAATCATCAATTTAAAAATATCCTATAATTTGATAAGGCAAATAGGAAGACCTTCCAGATATAATTTAGGAAGGTCCATCAGACTATTAGATCCAATTCGTTTTCATTCGTATTGGATTGAGATATATTGCCTGGAATATTGATTTATCAGCATTATTTTAATGATCTATAATGGAACAGATATTGATTCCCTATTTCAATTATATTCATATATATTTTATTGAATTCATTAATAATATAATGATAGAATACCTGAATTCCATCGATTGCATCATACCACTGCCGGACCTATTGCAATGATATAATTGATTAACATTCCCTGAATCCTTCTAGATAAAAATATATAAAATCTAATTCCTATATTAATCTTTCAATCTTTAATCAGAATTCGATGATTCCTCAATATCACCCAATTATTCTCTGATTTTCCGGAATTATATCCCATATATTTTCTAATTGATCAGATATTTTGCTTTATTGCAGATTTGACCTTCGATTTGCCTATCTATTGGGCTTGCGGCCGGATCAATTCATCCATGAAAAATTCGAAGATCAATTAATGATCATGAAATATATTATTCCTGATTGATCCTGGCGCAAAAAAAACTGGCATATTCGGCATTCGAAAAGATTGGAAATGATCAATCCTTCGAGGATCTAATATCAATCTATTCCGATAATTTCGTCAAAAGATAATGAATAGATATCTCATTCAATGATCCTCCCAAATATGATCGGGAATAATATAAGAAGAATTCCGGCTCCTCAACCAATACATCGGAAGGCAATTCCAAGACACCTCGATTTAGGAAATTAATCAGCAACGTATTAATGCAATTTATATTTCTAAAAATATATTAATTAAAAATCGCTATTTCCATACCCGCAACTACTGTAGCGGGGCCTGCAGGGCCTCAAGTTAGACTCCGAAAATTGAGGTCTAGGATGGTATACCCAGAGCATGCTGCATAAGCCAATATTAAAAACCTAGACCCTACCCTAAGTACCCGGGGGCATGGGTCTAGGATAGAATTCCTAGCAACATATTTTGATAACATGAATTCGCGAAAAGATACGTAAAATTGATGGACAAAATCGCACAGGAAAATTGACATCTTTGTTGCTTGGGATTTCAACAATTCAGGTTTCTTTATCTCGAATTCAATAGATTTAGCCCTCTAGTTCCTTTGATGAGTTCAGACAATTTTCTATTAGTCTTTTCCCTCACGTGGGGTTCTCTAGGGTATTTCATTTTAGATCTCTCATTCCAGATTTCATTCTCCTAATCTGTATTATTATATTCTATTTTATTTATAATTTTCATGCTTCATTATTAGGGTTCGGGTTCTCTTCAATAAGAATGTCTAAGAATACAACCCTAAAATAATTTCCTTAGGGCTTCAAAATTCTTTGAAATATTTTAAATCCTCATTCGTGACCATTTCATCAACTATATTTCTATTATAATTAATAAATAATTAATCCATAATATAATATCTAATGCCAAATTTCAAACAATCTCTCCAAACCCTCAATATTTAAAAATATTTATTTCCTATCGATTTTGCATATCGAAAAACATATTCAATAATAAATAAATAAATAATCAATAATAAATAAATAAATTAAAATCTTAATATATTATAATATATTTAAATCAATATTAATTATTAATATCATTTTTTTTTTTTAATCGTATTAAAACTTAAATCATATAATTCCAAATAATTTTAAATATTAATCGTTATAAAAAAAAAATAAAATCATCATAATTCATTCCTATACCTATATCTTCAAGATTAATTTCATAAATATAATCCATTCAAAATAAATAAAATAATATAAAATACAATAAATATATAAATACCCCATTATATATTCAATTTATATATATATATTATAAGATATTGAATATATTCAATAATATATTTATATATATATATTGATATATATATATATATTGATATATATTGCACGCTAGTAACCATCATCCAGAATCTATGGGGATTGAGGAGGGGCAATGCGTTTAAAAGGAGAAGCCCAACACACACTCACGTCCCACCATCCCAAAAAGCAATTCTTTACAAATTCGGAAAGTCCTTCAAACAAAATTTGTCCTGTAAAGAAGGCGCGAACCCCTCAGATACCATCAGATACCTGGAATCTTACTTTTATATGTCGTGATCAATTGCATCGCATAATGGCATAGTATATTTTCCTTAAATTGTTGATTTCAACGCAAGTTCATCGAAAATGACTGCTGTCCTGGCCTCAATGGATTGGCGCGGAATCTTTGTCCTCGCACTTGGATCATCAAAGGCACTATGGAAAACAAAACGAGGGACGTCAGGTCGACGATCGTAGCCTTAGCTGGTCAGATGTTGAATGTTTTCTCTGTATGGTGATGTGCAAGTGAAGGTCACCCAACAATTTCTGCATTGGGCTTTCCAAGCACAATCTTCTTTCCTGAGCTTGGACAGGACACAACTATGACACATCTCGGACGGTGAACGACACATATCTGTTTGAGAAAAAACGATCACCATGCATCCCAGGACAAACGCCAACCTTCGGCTCCGTCCAGGACAGCTGGAGCAGGTGGGACAGCACCCAGTGGGACAGTGACCAAGGGCCTGCATGGGATGGGTCAGATGTTTATGGCTTAGCAGCAACTGAAGATCAAGCACTCATCGATCCTCATCTCAGGATAGTAGTACCACTTGTGCGATGCTGCTGCGCGGTTGGACAAAGACAATCTGCTGCCCACCCGATCTGGGTAAACCATCTCATAGTTCATCCAATCCTCTTCTTCAACGCTTCTTGGATCGCACAAAGACAGTGGATAGTCAAAGGCTGGATTTAGCGGATCGATGCTGCGCCACACATTGATAAATGCGAACCTCTGCCCCGAGGACAAGACCTGTCACGATGCAGGTTGGGTCTTTGTCAGCAATTCCCCAATTGTTGATTGTATTTGATTGTTACTTTTTTTGGAGGCACCACCGGGTCATGTCATACTGGGTCGCTCATCTGCTTCGAATTCCACAACGTCCAAAGGAAGGACAAAAAACCAGCTCCGAGCATCACCCGGAACTCTGCACGGATTCGCTTCTGAACTTCCCTAAGGCAAATCGGATCAAATCAGCACCACATTCGACCAACCCGTCTGAAACCAAGGACCTGTGCACTTCGAACGGGTGGAGATCGGGCCTCTCGTGAACGTCGGATTTCCGGCCCTTTGGAACGTCGCTGGGCCTTCTGAACGTCCTCTGCCGGCAACAGCACCCCTGTGTATCCCGGTGTCTGTGCCAGTTGCTGCAGACGTTGGGGCGCTGAGCGCTCGTTGTAATCCGCGTGCACAAAGGTGGCAGGCCCGGCCCACTTCCCGCGAACGCCCAGAGTGTTCAGCCCGGAAGCTGTGCTTGAGCGAATCCTCGGGCAAATCCGAACTTCTAGCTCTGGCAGTGTCTGGATCTAAACCAATTCCAACGTGTCTGAAGGGTGAAGCCAAGATGGATGATTTAACATCTGAGCATGATCAGATTTCAGAACCAAAGCCTCCATGTATTTACTCCGTTGCTATTTAGCATGGCCAAGTTTAAGTAAGGATCCACCGCACGTCACGCGTGATGATTCTATTCTTTGGATAAGCTTCCTCAGGCAGGCATCCAAATCTGTCCAAATCAGCCAAGACTCGTGTGGTCGAACACCATGACTCGCTCAACTTTCGCCCCAGCTTTCTCCAGAACTTCCGACAACAATGATTGAACCTCGCTGTAATAGACCTGAAGAGACTTCGGCGTATGGGTGTCTGCCAAGATGCTAAGAATCTGCCGGCGATAATAGAATTGTCAAAAAATACAAGCAACAACCTGTCGGGTTGTAGGCTCAAAACAACATGATTATATATATAATATACATGTTATATATATAACTATATCATTACGGTATATATCTGATTTAACTTCTCCTGCACACATCTACAAGCAATATGTCCAGGAAGTACGGATCCACGCTTCTCATCTTGCTATTAGGATCTACCAATGAATACAGTTAATTTTATGCAGTAGACAGTTCTTCAACCCTAACCTTCCTGCTCCCGGTGTTTGTTTGGAATTTGGGTGCACTTCTTGAGCTTCTGTAGGGAAACCACGGCGAATTGCAGGGCACTGCAGGGATCTCATTTCTGCCGGCCTTTCGCACTTCAGACTCATCTTCGAAGCTTTGCATCCTTGCGAAACACCGGACAGACCGGACATGAATCAATCAGTCTTACTCTTTGGGACACTCCTTTGCCATTCCAACAACAAGTGTTGTTTTGCTCACGATGTCAGTCTACCAAACAGGTGAGCAGTTCTTCATAATAGTTCTTTGACGAATAATTGTGTTGCATTTTACTTGCCATCACTGGCATCCGATGCACAATGCCAATCTCTTTTAACCCCTGGTCCTTGTTGGGGCTTGCAAGAGCTCAAATCCGGCAGTAGGCCAGGACAGGACTTCAGTGGCCAAACGCGCATTTTGGATTTCAACTTCGGTTTCTTCACGAACATCACAGAGGTCACCAGGATCCTGGAAACTTGGGTCAGGAGAGATGTATCGCCCAATCCGCTGGCCGGGAACGACCTTCTGATAGGCCAGGCTAGCACGAACCATCTTCACGAATGCAAAATGTGTAATTTCGACATCTCAAAGACATTGATCACCAACCTTTTGGTAAAAGTCAAAGAATCAACCGAATGATTATAAATTCTAGTCTCTTGGCATCTACAACCAGTCCAATATTTTAATATGTTGAATAATGTGTGGAGGCCACCGCGAACTGCAATGGCAATTATTCTCTTTTTTGACATGCCTATCTTCAATTCATACCTGTGGGATGTATTTGCAGCAGTGGAGATAGCCATGCTTTGCCTAAGACCTGGTTATATTGTACAAGATACAGTAACTAAACCTGACATGGTAATCATGATAGATGTAGATGCAACCTGTGGAGCCTCAGCGAGCAAATCAGTCTTGCAAACTCACATCTCGGCAAATTCATCAGATTCATACGTCTGCAACTAAGCCTATACTTCCAAGCATCATATCCAAACATCTTCCTCAAATCAACTCTACTATACGTCTACTCAGTCTGTCGTTCGTCCTCGCGGAAAAAGAACAGCCAGTCACTTTGAAGAGAAAAGCAGTCCAGTCCCAGTCCCATGGGCCCCACGGCTCACCATGACCCGAAACGAGAGAAAGAGACCTGATACGTCAAGAACCGCTGTTTTTGTTGTGTATATCCCAAAGAATCTCTTGGATTTGCTGTCCAGGTTGCTGTCCACGAAAAATATCAACATATCATCTTCTCCAGAAGAGGATTCGTCCACACGGGAAAATACACATCACCCTGCCGTTCTGTTATTTCGTTGCACAACAATGGGTACAGATTCGAGGAAACGGCTGCTCACGCGCGCGTCGTCGGTTTCTTTTGCCTCTTGTCCAAGGCGGTCTGTGCTAGATTCGGCGGCATAGGATCTTTGGCATCAAGGTCCACAATTGCTTGGGCCCTTTCTGCAGCCGGCCGCCGTGTCATGCCCTGCCCGCTCGCTCACTCGCTGTTTGCTCGCTGCTCGCTCCCGACCCCTCGCTCACTCGTGCGCCAGGATGGGCTACCTCACCAAGGGACTTGTCGCATCAAGGTCTTACAGGGATGGATCTCAAGCAACAGCTCTGCACCCTGATTTTCTCGGAGTCTCGAGCATCTGCTCGAAATCAACTCGAAGATGGAGACTCCCTCCGCTCCCCGAACGGACACAGTCTATTTTCTACCCCCAGATGAGTTAGGAGTTGTGCCAATTATAATAGTCCCAACTCACTAGTCCAAAGTAGAAGTTTCTTGATGCAAAAAACATCTGCAATCATGCTTGCAGCTGCAAGCCATCATCTTTGACCTATTCTTTGGAGTGCGCTGACTCTTGGCTGTCCGCCGGCTGTCCCCCAAGTCTTCACTACAAATTTTACCAACACCCCACCAAGTGTGTCCCTGTTCCCTTGCGCCACGTTCCGCCTGGAAACGTCCTACAGTCTGATTTGCCGGGTCCTAGAACAAAGGCCCTCAACTGATCTCAACTGGTAAGGGAACTTAATTACTTCAAGACCTAGGAAAACACTATAGTAATTTGAAGAATTGCTCGAATGGTAAGCAACTTTCTCGTCGCCTTTAAAGTGCAAGTCACACTTTGAGGTCTGTCCGGAAGGCACTTTCAAGGCTCTCGAGGAAGACGTCCACCTGATGCTAAAGGAGGAAGACGGAACACAGGCGACCCGGTGTCAAACGCGTTTTAATGGGTTTTCTTTTCAGTGGAAGCGAGTGCTTTGTTGTTTTGATGATCCCATAACTAAGAACCAGATCTGACGTATACAATCTTCTCATCATTCACCCGATTGTTGATCTACACACTTAGTGGAAAACATCACCAAGCGGTGATAGGAACTGAGTGGTGCAAAACAGCTACACCTTTACTATCCTTTACTTAAAGAAAAGCGTTTAAACTACAAAGAAGAACCGGTCGTCAGGGCCGCCTAGGATCTTGCTGAGCTGTGTTGGCACTGAGGTGGTCTGGGATGCACGGCTCCAGCTTCTCAGGTACGACTAGACCTGAAGAAACACCTCCAAGACCTACATAACCAGACCATCCAAAAGAGAGTGGAATAGTTACATACATTGGATTACATTGGAGTCGTGTTCGTGGGGTAAATGTATGTAACATTATGCAACTATTCCAGTCCCATGGATGGTCTGGGATAAAGAGAGTGTCCAATCACCTTTCATAAAGAGGGTGACAGTGGATCCATCCAAGAGCTCCTCGATGTCTCGTCCGCTGTTTACCCGCCAGACAGGTGCAGACTTCTTAGTTCTTCTGCATCGGGGTTTACCGACTTCTTACAGATCTTACGGAGGTCGAGTGGCGCTCCATGCCATCTGAAAGGTTGCCATCCTGGCAGAAAGGCTGGCTCGTTGCGAGAAGACCGCGCCCCACCTTGAGACTGTTGGGCTCCTCTACCACCATCTCTGGGTCGCCCCGCGCGGTGGCCTGGACCACGCGTCGGGGCCGAAGACGGCGAGTGAGTTTCGCACCCTTTGGGACAGACGGACACGCACCTTGTTATTGACATCCTCATAGTTGTGTGATGAGGATAACCAGTTTGTTTTTGCTCACGTTTTTGCAATTATTACATAATTCGAACATAGAAAAGAGGATCTCGTTGGTGTCTATGAAGAGAGTGCACCTTTATTGCTGTCCAATCTTTTCATTACGGCCTGGAAGATTAGTCAAGATGGATCCTGAAAACCACTGGGTTGTAGAGGAAAATAGTCTTCCAAGGGTTCATGTTCCGATTCCATTGTAAATCTTCCCGGGAGTAAAACGACCACCTTTAAATTCCCCAAATCCAGACATTGTGCGCCCAGGCTTTTGCCTGAAGGGAGCACGGGGCACCCGCCATCTTGGCAGCTGACATCACACGCTCTTCCAACCACGAGAGCTCCTGGAGAAATCTCCCGATCGAAGGCGAAACTGTGAATCCAGGGTCCTGCGGGAGATGGTGAGATGGTTCATCAAGCAGCTCAAGCCATGTGGTGCTCGGCTCAGCTCCATGCGCCATGCTCCATGCTCAGCTCCTCACCCACAGAAGTGACTTACTCTGCAATTTGTCATAGGAACCATTTCCTACTTGCACGGCACTATCTTTTGGTGACGTTGGATTATCATGGATTATCTAGACTTGATGGTTTTCCGTGAGGCTAGCCACAACGTGTCTACTGTAACTCTGGCTTGGTAACTTTTCTGCCAGTGCTAGTGGACAACATCAGAAGCATCCAGGTGCAAACCACCACGCAACTTCATTTTACTTCAACTGTGATATAGTCATATGCACTTCTGACTTAGGGTTGGGAGACTTCAAGTGACTTAACTGCACGGTTGGCACCCCAAAGCATGCCTTTCCTTGCAACCAAGACCGGTCATTCCTTGAAACGAACCGCTCGACCACATGCTGCGGGTCGCACAGTGACTGAACTGGTGATCAAAGGAAGGAAACCACCCAACACCATCCAAACAAAAACAATAATAACATATTGATATTGATAACTCAAAAAGCATCACGCACACCGGGAGCCCTCCACGTTCGTTCGCCCTCCATGTTCGTTTGCTTCGTTGGCTCCTGCGGTTCCTTGTCCTCATCTCTGAGCATCAACGCCTCGCCGCCGGAAACAACCCTCGGTCCTCCGATCGTCATCGCTGACTAGTCGCCAGGGGAACAGCAGCCGGACGAAACCTGCTCAGCTCTTCTGTTGGCCATCCCAAGAGAGGTTAAGTGATCGTAAATATAGGACCCGTAACCCGGGGTACTTCTGGGATAGTCTGTAGGGTTCCTCTGTTGGTCACATTGAGATTGGATAAAGATCCACGGTCAAGGACTGAGCTTTCAATCTGTACCCTTCGACCTGTACCAAATTGGGATTGGTTTGTGAACATATCATGATTCGTGTGGACTTGCTTTGGTAGCAACATTTAGCTTGTACTATCAAAAGCATCTGCGGAGTGTTTTGGAGGACTTAGAGGATCGATGGCGCACAGTGACAGAAGATCTAAGCTGGATTGGAGTCGTTGGAGGGTTCTTGTTAGGGGTAGTGGTTATAGTGGCTATAGTGAGCTTTGCACCAATTTGATTGGACATATTGCATATATATCGTGACACTGTCTTCAGTTAGAAGTGTCCTAAACATGTCCGCTACATCTCACTCATGGTAAGTACGCCAGCTTTGGGTATTGTCGCAACCGCCAGCCTTTACATCTCACACAATGCAGTTTGAAGCGGGCAACCTAAACCTAATATATGTCTTCTCCAAGTATTCTACTCAAAACCCTAAATCATCGCATCATCTTTAGCTCGGTATAGCTCGGTCATGTCAGGTAGGAAGAACATGGAAGAACATTCCCAAAGGACCGTGTGCCGCTTTTCAAGTCCGCCCTCGTCACTGAGCTTGCCACGGCGATATCGCTGATGGTGCGGCCCAGTTCGACCACCCCGATGTAGACCAAGCTCGTACAAAGCCTGCCGTGGCACGACCAACACCCGAGAGACCCTCGACCCGACCTCGCTGGTGTGTGAAAACAGCCACCAGGCTCTGCGCGAACCCACTCGTCCAGTTTGCAAAAAACACATAGAAACAACAAGATTCATGAATACTTATGACCGAGGTTCTGAGGGGTGGACCCTTTCCCACGTATTCCCCTTCTCTTCGACTGGGGCAATCATGGGCAGTCCAGCATTTTTGGAATTTTAAGAGGAACGAAAAGACATCTCTGGGTCTCTGCATGGGGATTGTCAGGCTGAACATCATCAATCAAAATCCAAGACCTCTTTTGCATGTGTTTGATCTGTTTTCTGAACAACTGGTGATGCACATATATAATCATAATCTGTAAGTGCATCTAGCCCCTGTGTGTCGTGAAAAGGTGATTGTTGAAGAGTGTACTTATAAAACTGCTGACTGCTGATGACTCAATTGGCCCCCAAGACTCGATTAGCCACCTGGTTGCCCGGAATTCCGAGCGCCCCCAACACCTCAGCCCTGGAGCCTCAGAGTGATCACAGCACTCTCTTCCAACCTTACACAGCGCAGTTCTGCCCCTGTTCATCATTGTCCACTATGTCCATGTGGCGGTGGGTTGTGGGAGTCGCGGCAGCGAAAACACACAGTTTTTGCACCAAGTTTTTTCCAACCTAAAATGAGCAGAATCGACGGCCTGACATGTCAACCTACCAGGGTGCAACGGGGCTCCGGGCGTGAAGACCCACAACGATGTTAGCCAAAGGGATGGATCCGAAAAACCAAATACAATACAGTACAGTATATTTATTCCAACAGATTGATGGAAACATGATCCATCCATGATTCTATCACTGTACAATGATACTGACTTTGGTAATGATTTGTAACGATCACCAGGAACCCAACCTTTGTGACACCCTTTTTGCCTGCGCTCATATTTTAGATCCCGACCGCTTTTGATGGCCACAAATCGAGGTAGGGTGCGAGATGCCATAGCTGGAGCGAAACAGCTATAGATGTGACTCCACGTGGACAGCCAGCACAACCTTGGGATCCACACTCTGGAGTTTTGAGATGGATCTGTATTAGGACCCATCAGGCCAGGTTTCCCTGCCCAGCGTCTTTCAGCATCTTGCAGGTGTCCTTGAGCTTCCTTGGGAGTTTCCAGATCTGCCAGCGTGGGCCCACTAGTGGGGAAGAGGTAGGAGCCGGGGAAGGTAGGTTGACCAAAAGGGGCACTAAGAAAACCTGAGAAGCATGAACTGAGTCTAATGAATGCACAGCCGGTCAAATTCTGACCGTGTTTCCAGGAAGTCAACGAAGTAGTCAACAATGAAGTGCGACTCGAGGAGCTCCATCGCGCTGTTCCAATTCAAGGGCGCTGCTCCGAGATCCCTCGAGCGATCCACGCCAGAGTAGGTCTGCCACTTTTGGGGGCGTGACCGCTGGATCGTAAGGTGGCCTGCAGTGCCAATCAGCGACGCGTCTGTAACTCCAGCGTTCTTCGCAAGACAACTGAGCGTCGCTGTCCAGTCAGCTCGACTGCGTGAGCATGCAGATCGAAGAGCGCGCGCTGCGCAGCCAGCAACTGCTCGCTGTCCAATTAACCTCACTTTGGCCATCCTTTGTGTGGGTAAAGACTCACCGCCAGGTTGAATTGCAAGATCAAGCCATTGAAAGGGACATCTTCATTTGGGCCCATTTGGCTTTTCATTCTGCTACCAGTTCCAATCAAATCTTGGCAAGTTTTCAAAACAAACAAGCGCAAACCAATGTGTACAGATGTGGTGGAGCAAACTAAGCAGGTGAGGTTTTCCAGCAGTTGAATTTTCTGGGTGGTAATATTATTAATCTAAAATGTACTCTGCATCATTGAAAAATTATGTATTCCTGATCGTTCTAAGGTTGGTGGCCTAAAGCCGTGAAAGCACCGACGAAACAAATCAGAGCATGGCAGGACAATACACTGCAAAAAGTTACACCGGCATGGACACGTCACGGGCGGCTGTCACCGCAGCATGCAACATCAGACCAGTCCACCACTACGCACAACATCTATCAGCTGAATGCGCCCGCTTGCCCAACACAGACGTAAAACTGCAAGATCGGCAAGGCCCAGACGACATGAGGATCATCGCTGCGCAACACGGTCATGAACAATATGACAGCATGTCACGCGTGGCGTGGCATGAGGTCGTCCTTGGCATGACATGATGTTTCTCACCCCTGGCATGGCCTGATGCCATGCCTGGTAGGACATGATGTCATCCCTGGCATGACCTGGTGTCATACCTGGCATGACATGATGTCATCCCTGGCATGACGCAAAACGAAAAGCCAATCCAGAGCCAGTGCCAGCAACAGCATGGCACCAGCGCCGGCCAAACAAAACGCCGATCCAGCGCCAGCACCAGCAAAGCAGCAGCACGTGCAAAACGAAACGCCGGTCCAGAGCCAGCACCAGCACCAGCAAAACCAACATGCCGATCCATAGCCAGCATCTGCACGCGCACCAGCACAGCAGCAGCACCTGCAAAACCAAAATGCCGATCCAGAGCCAGCACCTGCAGGTGCTGCGGTAGCAGCGCCTGCAAAACCAAAACAGACAGCGCCTGCACCTGCACCAGCATCAGCACGGCAGCAGCACCTGCAAAACCAAAACGCCGATCCAGAGCCAGCACCTGCACCTGCATCAGCATGGCAGCAGCACCTGCAAAACCAAAACGCCTGTCCAGAGCCAGCACCAGCACCAGCATCAGCACGGCAGCAGCACCCGCAAAACCTAAACGCCGATCTAGAGCCACACCATTGAGAATTTAGAGCCCGTATAGCCTGCAGCTATCTGGGGAACAAAGAACAACAGCCAAGTATAACAATCAAAAGCCAAAAACTGTGCATAAAAGGTACGCTGGCGCAAACCTAGCGCAGACCGAGCGCAAACCAAGGGCAGCTGGTGAAGCCGGCCGGCGGATCTACCGCAAGGAACACTTTCCACATATTTTTGTCAAGAGCACAACGAAAGGACGTGATGGCAACTGCATGGGGTATCTTCTGCTCCTCCTTGGTCATCTGTGGCCACGCCGCGCCAAAGTAGTTCCCGCTCCAATAGTTTCCAGCAGCCAGTAGATCACGGCTGACCCAGGTTTGTAAAGTGGCAGCAGACATCACACTCTTGCGTGGCAAACCTGCCTGCAGATTGTAGCATTGCCGCGGGCCACTTCCACCTGCACTGTATCGCAGGCCTAAATCTCGCGTCGCCTGCACTGTATCTCGTAGCAACAGCGACAAATTCTTGGCTGCATACCCAGTGCCTCCCAGCCCTGGCAGCTTTTGAATCGCCGCCCACTTTTCTTCCTCGTCTTTGGCACCGCACAGTTCTGCAAAGACTTTCTTTGCGCCAGCCAAGGTCGGAAGCCATTGCACTGCACGCTGAACAATCAGCATGTGTGTCAGCTGCCAGTTAGCAGGTACCACTGCTTGAGCTTCTGGTACTTCCATAGCCTCTTCTTCCGAAAAGTCATCCCACACCATCTCGAGAGTCTCGAACGTTGCTAAATCTGCACCTGCGTGCCTAGCGACACGTTCCCACTCATTAGCACGTATCCGTTGTGGATTGTACCTTTTGTGGAAAGGGTTGCCTTTGCACCCTCGGATAGCAGCCTCATAGAACCAAGCAAGGTTTTTGGAGTCGCAGCTGGGGTCATTGACATCTCGCAACTTTGTCTTGTGGCTTCGCAGAGCTGCCAACCACTCGTCCGAGCCGAAGTAGAACGTCACCAAACACACACAAAATTTGGCAAAGTCATCTGAAAAGAGATCTGAAATGATACCCGTGCGGCGATGATGCCACTCACTATTCTGCACCACTGGCTCTTCCCAATCATAATTCGCAATCCAGGACTCGAGGGTGAGGCCGTTAAGTTCCACTGCCACCCGTGCGGATTGCGAGAGTACAAGAACCATGATATTTGTACTAGATATTAGTAAAAGTGAGGAGAGAGCAGAGATTTCAACAGAATAGTATGGAGCAAAAGTGAAAATTTCAATAGGCAACTAAAGAGATAAGCCAAGGTTAGAATGAAAAATCCAGAAAATGGAAAAGCGTAGAGACAATATAGATTTCATCAGAATAGTAGTCTGTAGAGATTTCAACGAGTAGACGAAAATTCAAAAATGCAGCAATAGCAAAATTCAATGGAAAACAAAACAAAGA